CGTCCCGGACCATGGGGTCACTGAGACCCAGTTGGTCCAATTGTTTTATCGTGCCATACCAGAGGCCCTGCGCGGGCATTTCTTTGACAAATCTCAACAGGCCGGCATCACATATGATGCATTCAGTAGGGAAGTCGTCCTGTATGAGTCAAAGTCTATGCCAGTTACCACCTTCTTGCACAAAGACTTGGAGAAGGGAAAGGGGTGGAAAGCGCGTACCATCTCTGGCCAGGTCAAGGCCAAGGATCATATGATCCTTACCTTAGAGGAAGGTGGTACACCTCGAGGATGATGGCAGTAGTGTGGGGCAAGGGAGGTTCTATGTTGTTGTCGCGGCTGGAGGGAGGCCGCAAGGTAGAGGAGGAGGCCAGGGCCAAAGGGGCCAGGCCATGGGAGGCCAAGGACCGGGCGCGCAGGGGGTTGGCGGCCAAGGAAACCGCCAAGCGGGAGGTAGGGGTCAAGGTCCCCCGTTAAATCGCCAGGGTAATCGGTCCTCACAGCGAGGAGGTGGAAGAGCACCTCAAGGAGGATGGCACCCAGGCTTGCCACAGGGCAGGCCCTGGGAAGACTTGGGCTTGGACCAACGATTATGGCAGGAACGCGTGAATGGGTCAGTGCGTTTTCTGTGGTGACCCGGCGCACGTAATTAAATATTGTCCTAAGTATAGACAGGCCCGTTGGGCTGCCCAACAGTCAAAAGGCAGCCGCCAGTAGGGGTTGCAACTGCCCCTACTTCAAGGTCATGCGGAGAAGTGAGCGCGCGCGAACAGGATGACCTTCCTTTCGATATACTGGAGAGTTGAGGACTATGTAGAGGGAGTCCAGGCGTATTTTCGCCTAGAGAAAGATGGGAAGGTGGAGAAAGTTCTCCATTCCCTGACTCTCCTCGTACATGATGAACTTCCTTTCGATATAGTGTTAGGAATGGATTGGGGAGAGGTAGCAAGGGCCACACTTCATTTGAGAGAGCATGAGTGTAGGCTCCCTAGTCCGTCAGGCGAGGTTAAGACTGCCCGCTTGTTCCATGTTCTGGTGTAGATAACACCTTGGCACATTGCTGTCTCAGTGCTCCCGCGTTCGCGCGATTAGTCGAAAAGGAGCAGTTAGAGGAACAGGTCTTTGTAGTGTATGTTAGACCTGTCACCGAGGGCAAGGAAGAGATAAGTTCCATAGATCCAACCATAGCCAAGTTGCTGGAAGAATTCAAAGACTTGACTGAGTCGCCGACAGGAGTAGTGCCGCGACCTATCCAGCACAGGATAGAGATAGAGCCCGACAATAGAACTCCTAAGGGTGCAGTCTATAGAATGTCCCCCAGGGAGTTAGAGGAGCTTCGCAAACAGTTAGACGAGCTCCTTGAGAAAGGTTGGATCAGGCCCAGTTCGTCTCCTCTTGGAGCACCCGTTTTGTTTGTCCCCAAGAAGGAAGGAGAGCTGAGAATGTGTATAGACTATAGGGGTTTGAATGCGATTACTGTAAAGAATGCTGAGCCACTGCCTAGGATAGACGATCTCTTAGATCGGGTGCAGGGTTGCAAGTATTTCTCCAAAATAGACTTGAAGTCCGGATACCATCAGATAGAAGTCCATTCTGATGACCAGTACAAGACTGTGTTCCAGACTAGATACGGGCACTATGAATTCATAGTGATGCCCTTTGGACTAACCAACGCACCAGCTACCTTCCAGCATTGTATGAGCGACCTGTTTAGACCGTGGTTAGATAAGTTTGTAGTAGTCTATCTAGATGATATCCTAGTTTTTAGTAAGACCCTCCAAGAGCACTAGGGTCATCTGAGGCAGGTCTTGGAGAAGCTACGAGAGGCTTAACTCCAAGATCAACGCAAAGAAGTGTGAGTGGGCCAAGACACAAGTTTTGTACTTGGGCCACGTGTTGGACGGAGATGGCATTAAGCCAAAGGACAGCAAGATAGCGGCGATTAGAGACTGGCCGACGCCCCACACATTGACAGAGTTGCGATCGTTCCTAGGCTTAGCTAACTACTATAGGAAGTTCGTGAGGAACTTTTCCACTATCGCCGCCCCCTTGCGTAGACTGCTAAAGAAAGAGGCAATCTGGCAATGGGACAAAGACTGTACGTCTACGCTCAAGAAGGTAAAGCGCGCGTTAATAGAATATCCCATCCTCAAAGTAGCAGATCCGTCCTTGCCATTTGTCGTTACCACGGACGCAAGTCAGTATGGGATAGGCGCCGTGTTGCAGCAAGACGACGGCAATGGCTATAGACCCGTAGAGTTCATGTCAGCGAGGATGCCCTGTGAGAAGGTCGCTACCTCCACGTACGAGAGAGAACTCTACGCTCTCAGGCAGGCTTTAGACCATTGGAAGCACTATCTGCTTGGGAGGCACTTCAAAGTGTATTCTGACCACGAGACACTTCGTTGGTTAAAGATACAGGCCAAGATGACACCTAAGTTGACTAGGTGGTCCGCAAAGATAGACCAAGTCGACTTTGAGCTCAAGCCAATGAAGGGCAAATACAACATGGTTGTGGATGCTCTGAGTAGGAGATCATACTACTTTGGAGCCGTAGTACACTATCTGAATATAGGGAGAGACCTGCAGGAGAAAGTGAGGCAAGCATATGCGCAGGACCCTATCTATAGCGACCTCCTAAAGAGAGTTAGAGAGGCCCCAGAGACTGAACCAGACTACCGCACTACAGACGGGTTGTTGTTTGAGAAGACTAATGTGTTTGACCGCCTGTGCGTTCCCAACAGCGAAGAGATCCGCAGTTTGATTTTAGGGGAATGCCACGATACTGAAGGGCATTTCGGTTGGCAAAAGACATTAGCTAACCTGATGCGTGCGTATACCTGGCGAGGGATGAAGAATGACTGCATAGAGTATGTCCGCAGTTGTAAAGTGTGCCAGAGGAATAAGTCTACTACACGCGCGCCCCTAGGTCTTCTCGGACCCTTGCCTATTCCGGATCAGCCGGGAGACTCCGTGTCCATAGACTTCATGGACACCCAAGTCAAGAGTAGACATGGTAAGAGCCAAGTCATGGTCGTAGTTGATCACTTTAGCAAATATGCAGTTTTCGTTCCTTTGCCTGCAGAGGCACGTACGGACTTAGTTATACAAAAGTTTTTTTACTTTTGGGTTAGTGAGAATGGAATCCCATTGTCAATAGTTAGTGATAGAGATAGTGTTTCACCAGCCAGAACTGGCAAGAACTCATGAGAGTCTACGGATCTAAGTTGCTAATGTCATCTGGCCGTCACCCAGAGACTAACGGTCAGACATAACAAATGAACAAGATCCTACAGCAAGTTCTGCGCATGTACATTAGACCAAATCAGATTAACGGGGATGAGATGTTGCCTAAGGTAGCTAGTGCATACAACAACAGTGTGCATCTATCCACCTGCCGCACTCCCAATGAATTGCATAAGTCCTTTAGACCACGCAAACCGTTCGAAGGACTGAACCGGGATCAGATTCACAGACTACCGCCCGGTACCAGGGAGTTTGCGATACAGCACGAGAAAGAACTAGCCACTGTTGTTGAAAACCTCAGGAAGGCCCAGCATAGGATGATAGAGCAAGCTAATAAGCACCGTCGCCCGTCGCATTGTTAGGTAGGCGACTTAGTCTGGGTCAAGGCTAAAGAGTTTGCACCTGAAGAAAACATCTCGCAGAAGTTACTGCCCACATATAGAGGACCGTGGCCGGTTCTAGAAGTCAAGGGCGGAGAGGATGGACTGCCCTATAGCATTGAGATTCCAACACACCTCCACACGTACCCTGTGTTTCATGCTTCAAAGTTGCTGCCATGTGTCACAAGTCAACAGTTTCCTTCGAGAAGATCCATGATCCCCCCGGATATGGATGGAAGTTATGACATTGAAGGCATTGTAGACGCGGATGTGTTCAGAACAGGAGGTAGAGGTCGTCCCCAGAAACAATATAAGGTCCATTTTGCTTATCAGGAACCGGAAGACGACCGCTGGTTCACGAAAACAGAACTTCTAGAAACCGCTCCCGACATAGTCAGAGCCTATGAACGTGACAAGAAAGGTAAAGGTCCCGCCTTGGACTGAAATGTTCTCGGAGGACCTCGAATTTAGGACGGCGGGAATGAAACGGTTTTCACCTTTTAGCAGTAGCGGATGTCGTACCCAGGGTTCGACCCCTAGACCTCACCCTACCTATGTATAGTATCTGTGTAGATCCCGAGAATTGAACCTGTGACCTGTGTATTCGCAGATAGTTGGTAGGTCTGTCGTAGGTCCATAGGCAGTAGGGGTTCGATCTGTAGGTCTATAGCGTAGAAGTCTTAGTGAGTTCCGGAAGCTTAGCTGTAGACCTTCTAGAAGGTAGGCAAGTGGGCAAGTGGTCAAGTGGCGAGGCAAGTGGTGGACTAAACCACAGTGCAACAGCAGTACAACGTCGGTAGGATAGCGGTGAGTCCACAGTCAGTCAGCGGAAGGTCCAGTCAGTCCCAGTCCGGTCCCCCAAGTACCACAGGGGGACTGTGAGCACCAAGGACTAATGGCAAAGGGCAGACCAACGAGTTTCTGAAGTATAAATCAAGGGGCAGCGCCCAACCATTCATTCATTCCTGCGCGAGCCATGCGGAAGCGCTGCCACAACGGCTTGTGCAAGGAGGTCTGCAGATGAGCCCGGAGGACGCAGTGGGCAAGAGAGAGGGAGTTAGCCTAGCGATAGGTTAGATGCAGCGATAGTTGCCATAGCTGTAGTTAGTAGTGAGGGTGTGTGTGTGTTCGAGTGTTAGAGTGATGTGTGTAAGATATCCAGGGTGATCTAGTGTATGTGAACAGTGAGATGTTTGGGCGCTGAAGTCACCATAGCCAATTGAGAGTGAACTCGTGTCTGAAAGCCATATCTCTGAGTTTTGAGTGGGCGCATGTCGCCAGTATGCTGCGTTGCTGTTTACATGCATGAAAAGTGTGTTTGAGAACGAGTCTGATTGCACGGGGCATACATGCAAGATCGCTTGATCACAAACATATCCAGAGAACATAGCAAACAAAGTCTGATTCTGAATCTTTACCAAAAACATCAACGGGACGACGGACTGGATTTTCTCTGAGAAGTCCAGAGTTCTTGCACTGCACAAAACAAAAACGATGCTGCAAAGGTAACGGCTCCCCAAACAAAACACGCAAAGATAAAGAAAAAAGATTGTTCGGTGGTATTCCCTGCTATTTTCTTGCACGCAGGTTTTCGTCTGCTCTCAGGCTCTTCTTTTTCTTATTGTGAAAGAAGCGGCATATGCTAGGGCCATTCCTTATGCGTTTTCTTTCTTGTGTGCTTTTTTATTTTTCTGTTTTTGCGGGCGAAGCCGCAACGGGTCATCTAGTCTGCATCTGTTACCGCAAAGGTGAAAAACCCTTTTAGGCTTCACCCGAATAGAATGCCCGGTCGTTATGGCCGTATTTGGTGCATTTTTTAGTCCAGATACAACTATAATGACCGGGCGTTTTATTCGGGTGAAGACGGTAGGGGTTGACGGGTGGACGATTGTAGTAGTGATTGATGAGAGACATTTGGAAGTGTCCTATGGAGAACACAAAGGTTTGTTGTCCTTTATCATTGATGCACGTGGCATTCAGTTCGCAGTCGATCGTAGAAGCCTCGGCTGGGCATCTGAATTGGAATTGCTCGTTAGAGACAAACTCCAACTAACACCGAGTACGGGCACGATCCATGTCACCCCCGTGTTAAAAGGAGTACCTTTCCTTGGCCGCAATAGTTTCACTGTACTCGAAGTGGTTTTTGTCTTTTCATGTCAATGCCAGACCAAGCCCGGGATTTCATCACCGGCCTATCTACGAACGACAGACGTCATATTGATGACGATTGAGGGCAGACTAGCTTTTTGCTCTCTCTCTCTCTCTCCTTGAGGGATGCTCGAGGATATGATGCCATGCAGGCCTGGAAGAGGTGTGATATATTTCGTATGCTTGGTGGAGTTGCATGTTGGAGGGTGGAATTTGTTGCCATTCTTCAGGACAGTTCGACAAGAATGCCTTTTATGCTACGTTACTGGATCAGATGTTCGGGACCCCCCTGACCGTCGGGAACTGTCTAATTAGACAACCGATCGGCCGTCTGCCCTGGGGGGTCTGTCCAACCGGTGGGAAAGTTCTGTGGGGGCTGGGGGGGAGAGGGGGGGGGGGGGGGGGTAGAAGGCATTGCGCAGTAGGGGGAGATTTGTAGGAGCTAAAAATTCAAGAAAAAGGAACGCCCAATCTGCGCCGTCTGTTCTTCGAGATCGACGGCCTAGATTGGGCCCCCTAATTCAAAAACAAAAGTGGTTGGGTTTTCGTTATTTTTCAGTCAATCAATCACTCGCTCACTCAATCAATCAACGAACCGATGAATGAATCAAATCGATTCAATTGTTCGATTGATTGATTGATTGATTGGCGTGGATTGAGAGTGTGTGTGTGCGAGTGCGATCGATCGACTTTTTGAAGAAACATTAAAAAGAAACGCAGGGCATCCGCCCGTACTGTGTGTGTGTGTTGTCATATTCGCTATACACTACAAAAAAAGCATGACTCTGCCTCTGTGTGCGTGTTGCATACCGTAAAGGTGCAGACCAGAATAAGAACGGACCTCTCTCACAAAGTACAAGATAGCGTAGCGGAAGACTTAGATACCAATGATCTGAACAATCAATGTTGCAATGCAGCCTCAACACACATCATCATCATTCCATAGTGGGAAGGGGCCTGGCGCTCACACAAAAAGAATGCGCCAGTCCCCGCCATGCACAAACGAAGAAGAGGGGGGTTAAACAAAGAAGAGAGGAAGATGGGAATGTCGTCAACACCAAGTCTGCGATACAGGTCCCAAATAATCCCCGTCAAATGTCTGAATCCCAATGTCGAGTCTGGATCCAATGTCGTCAAGTCTCAAGTCACAACTCTCTCTCTCTCTCTTGTAGTCCGCAGATACTGAGAAGTCGGGTAGTGAGAGGGTGAAGAAGAGATGGTGGACTTAGAAGAGGAAGAAGAANGTAGTCCGCAGATACTGAGAAGTCGGGTAGTGAGAGGGTGAAGAAGAGATGGTGGACTTAGAAGAGGAAGAAGAAGAACTCTCTCTCTCTCTCTCTCTCTCTCTCTCTCTCTCTCTCTCTCTCTCTCTCTCTCTCTCCGGTACTAACCTGTGAAGCTGGCACCTTGATGCRGGTWCCTCGAAGATGGAGCTGGAGCTATGGCGCCACAAGTAAGTCTCACTGGCCTCCGCCAGCCATCTCTCTCCAACACTACTACTACTACTACTAGCGCCCTGCGCCGAAGACTACTCCTGCAGCTACTAGCGCCCAGCGCTGAAGACTACAGCCAGTGCTAACGCTACTCCTGGAGCACTCCTCTAGAGTGTTGCGGCCGAATCCTAAAGACTGCCTCCTGCCTTCTGTCCTCTACCTAACCCGTGAAGTGCATGGGAACTCCCTATGTAGTACTCGACCTGGCCCTTGACTGCCTGCAGCTGCAGGGCGGGGCAGTCCAGGAGGCTGCTCTTGCCAATGCCGAAGTGAGCCAGGGCCTACCGCTGCAGCTCCTGCTGAGGCTGTCGTGGGAACAGGTCAGAAATAGCCTGTTCCCGAAACCCTAGTTTGGTGCCCGAGTGTTAGGGCAGGTCGAATCTTATGAGGGCCCGAAAGTGGCCCTCCGTTTCAGGCTGAAAAGACTCAGAGCCTGGAAGGCCTTGTTTTAGACATAGGGCCTGCAGGCCCTCGTTTTCAGGCTTTCAGGCTGAAACGACACGGGGCCTGTAAGCCCTTGTTTCTAGGCTTTTAGGCTGAGACCGCGGAACAGGCCCTGCAGGCCCGTGTGGCTGCGCAGTATGCCACACCCCCCCCCTCCTTGAAAGACCGAGCTTACCTGCGAGGGCGAAGCTGTCTGTCTGAGGGAGGGACCAAAGTCCGGGTGGGAGGGGCAGGTCGTGAAGTTCCCTGAGCTAACCTTTGTCGCTCGTAGTGAGCGTAGGTCAGCGGTGCGGAAGCTTTCAAATCTGTTCCTGAAATCCTCTGAGTGTCGTCGGGATCGCATGCTCTTAGACATAGGGGCTGCAGGCCCTCGTTTTCAAGCTTTCAGGCTGAAACGACACGGGGCCTGTAAGCCCTTGTTTCTAGGCTTTTAGGCTGAGACCGCGGAACGGGCCCTGCAGGCCTGTGTGGCTGCGCAGTATGCCACACCCCCCCCSTCCTTGAAAGACCGAGCTTACCTGCGAGGGCGAAGCTGTCTGTCTGAGGGAGGGACCAAAGTCCGGGTGGGAGGGGCAGGTCGTGAAGTTCCCTGAGCTAACCTTTGTCGCTCGTAGTGAGCGTAGGTCAGCGGTGCGGATGCTTTCAAATCTGTTCCTGAAATCCACCGAGTGTCGTCGGGATTGCATGCTTTGAATGTAACTTTGTACTGTCGAGGCTTGCTGCCGTACTTGCGATCCGTGATGACACGGTCAACTTCCTGATGACCATCCATAAATGGAGTGTCCTGCGATCGTCGTCCTGGGAAGTTGTCGCTCTTAGCTGGTGTATATGTTGCCAGCTTCCAGGTTTGAAAGACTGGATGGACCGTCAGATGCGGGGGGATGTTGATCACAAATGAGGGGCCATCGGGCTCATCGCCCGTGGCTGATGTTACGGGCCATGGTCCAAACCACTTCGGAAGCAGTTTGCGTGAAACATGCTGTTCAAGTGCAAACTCTTCCGTGGAGACCCACACCAAATCACCGACGCGGATGGGACGTGGCACGCGATGCCTGTTGGCTTGCTGCTGCATGCGGACTTGAGCCTTTTGCATGTTCGCGCGGGCTTGAGCGAGCAATTCCCTGTACTTCCAAACGGAAGCGGGGGAGCAAGCAGCGTCTATGTCGGTTGTTCATGGGAGGAGAAGATCAGCGAAGATACGGCCTTTCCGGCCACCGTGGTGCAACTCGAATGGAGTTACGCCGATCGCCGGATGCAACGAAGTGTTGTAGGTGAACTCGACGTCCTGGAGGCGGTCAACCCAATCCTTCTGATCCGGACGGATGAGCGTACGAAGCATCATTTGAGCGGTTTGATGTGCGCGCTCCGTTTGCCCGTCCGTTTGTGGATGCCGAGCCGAACTTGGTTTCATCTTTGTGCCGGATTCCTGCATGAGAGAAGTCCAAAATGCCGACATGAAGCGCGTGTCGCGGTTGCTGACGATGTCTTCCGGCACGCCATGGCTGCAAATCCAGCTGGTGTGTAGGAGGCACGCAAGTTCGGGAGCCGTGGCGTAGTACTTGCAAGGAAGAAATCGCGCATACTTACTCAAACGGTCAATGACCGTGAGTATGCCGTCGTGCCCGAGCTGGTCGCGGGGAAACGGACCGAGTGACGTCCATGGCAATGGAGAGGCCGGGTTCCTGTGGGATAGGTATCGGGTGCAACTCGCCATAGGGATTGCGGTTGCGGGGCTTTCTTCGTCGGCAAACTTCGCAAGACCGACTGACATCAGTAATGAGGTCAGGCCATCGGAATCGTTGCCGAAGTCGTGCAACAGTGCGATTGACTCCAAAATGGCCGGCGAGTCGCGAGTCATGGTACTCACCGAGAAGGCGAGTCCGAAGACGACGGTCGCGTGGGACACACAATAAGTCCTTGCCTCTCGAGTGGAGGAGCAAGTACCCGTCGACGATGTGATAGTGGCGGGCCGGCGGGCGATCCGAAGATAGCTGTGCATAGAGCGTGGCGAAATTCGAATCAGACTCATAGCCCCGGATAAAGTGTCACTGGAGTTCCTCGTCGAATGCGAAGGCATGACGTGTCACAGCGCAAAGATCGGGTCTTAGCGAGAGTGCATCTGCTGCGCGATTGGAGAGGTCGGGGAGATGTTTCGGTGTGAAGTCAAATTGGTCGATGAAGTACATCCATCGTCCGATCGTGCTGCTCGCCGTATCCTGCATCTTGTAGTAGGTCAATGGGTTGTTGTCCGTGATCCATGTGAACCTACGACGCCCAAGGAGGAAGTGCCGCCATCGCTTGAGAGCCATCACGAATGCGAGCAGCTCCATCTTCCTTGCATCATCAAGTGAATTGATGGGAGGCTTTGTGGCTGAAATACTCCACGGGGTGCTTGTCGTCGCCGTCGTGTTGTTCCAAGACTGCCCCAATGCCATAGCCGGAAGCGTCGGTTGTCACTCTCGTTGGCAGGGTGGGGTCGTAGATGCTAAGGACGGGTGCCATGAGCATGGCCGTCTTGAGTGCTTGGAATGACCGGTGTGCATCGTCATCGAATACGAATGGCACCTTTGGCGATTGTAATCTCGTCATAGGTGCGGCTATCCTTGAGTACCCGGTGATGAAGCGTTGATAGTAGCCTGCCAACCCCATGAATGAACGAACGTCCGTGGTGTTGGTGGGCTCGGGCCATACGTGGATGGCCTCGATCTTGTCCGCGAGCGGACGGATGCCTTGCGGCGTCACATAATGTCCCAAGTACTCCACCTCTTGCCGCGCGAATTCGCATTTGTCGCGGTTGGCTTTGTACTTGGCTTGTCGTAGCCGCTCCAAAATGGTGCGCAGGTGCTCCACATGCTCGTCCAAACTTCGGCTGTACACCAAGATGTCGTCGAGGTAGATGAGTACGAATCTATCCAGCATGTGTCGGAACTCCGTTGTCATAGCCGCTTGGAATGTGGCCGGGGCATTCGTAAGGCCAAAAGGCATAACCAGCCATTCAAAATGCCCATATCGCGTCTTAAACGCGGTCTTGTAGCGGTCCTCCTGCAGGATCTCGAGTTGGTGATATCCTAATTTGAGGTCAAGCGGAGAAGAACTTCGTGCCGCTCAGTCGTTCGAGGAGGTCGTCGATGCGTCGAAGAGGGCCGGCGTTCTTGACGATTTGCGAGTTGAGCTTGCGATAATCGATGCACAACCGCAACTCCGTGTCCTTCTTTCGGACAAAGAGAACGGGGGCACGGTATGGCGAAGAGCTAGGCCGAATCCAACCTTTCTCGAGAAGATCGTCGAGTTGTGCCCATAGCACACTCAACTCTTCCTCGCTCATGCGGTAGATGCAACCACGCGGAGGTACGGCCCCGTCCTCGAGGATGATATTGTGGCGGATGGGCCGATCCGGTACTACTCTGTGCGGTGTTTCGAACACATCGCCGTAGGCGTCGAGAAGCTCGGTGATGCGTGGGTCCGGTGGTGAGTCCGTCGATGGAATGTCTTGAGAGAAGGTTAACCGACCCCCCAATTTTCACCCTCATTTATAAGAAAACCAGAGGGTCATTTTAACCATACTTTACACCAATCTATAGAGCGCACTTCTTACTAACATATTGTAAAAAAAGCTTGGGGCGGGAAGGCGTGGAGAAAACACACCCCCGTCTCCTCGATGTCATCACGGATGATGGAAGCTCGAATGCTTGCGGCGGACACCACGTGGCAACTGATCGAAGGGTGAGGAGGAGGCACCGTACATGGGACTAGTACTCCGTTCCGATCACGAACGTGAACGGTGCGGCGGTAGAAGTTCACCGGGTGATCCTCGCTTC